AGTAAAAGCTGCTGGACATAAAGATAACCAAACTATACTTTATTGTTCCGATCTCACAGTAACAGGTGAACTCTACTTCATCTACCTCCATAGTTCGCTAGGTTCGTAAGGGGTAGCTTTATTTACACCATACCTTATTTACCTAATTCGGACGTCACAAATGTGTGTAGGCCTACATAGACTAAATCAACAAAACTTAAGTGTGGGATATATGAGAGCCTCAGTGTGGTTCACGGGCGTAGCTGTTGATGAGTTGTAGGTAAATGACGTAGAAGGGGTAAGCTAGTATAACATGACGTCACACTTTGGAGGCGGAGTGCAGACAGCTGAGCGTTTGGGGGGGGGTTTAGGAATGTGAGGAGGCATAAAATTGCATGACGTCATTTATGGATGACTACCCAAGATAATTGGATTTTTTTTTTTTAATTCAAAAGAATGTAAGTTAATAAAAAAAATCTTTTAAGTTTTGAAGTTTTAAGCTTTATTTCAGTCTAAGCCAAACAAAGTTAGATCGATTGCCTCAAAAGAGAAAGAAAAGAGTTAAACCCTTCATAAAAACAACAAGAATTCGTTTTTTTTGGTTTATTTCAGAAGAGTTTAAACTCAGCAACAATAGCGAGTGGTGTTAAGGTAGCTTCACATTGTAAGGGGGGGAGAGCTTCACATACCGTCCCGGCGAATGAGCTCTTGTGTGATCGCGTCAGACAGGTAGGGGGGGGGGGAGGGGTGTGTGTAGGCGGTGTGTAGGTATGGGATAGGTGCAAGCAGACAGTAAAACACACCGGAGGATTAAATACCACAGAAGGATTGTAGGCAAGGGGGGGGGGGGAAGGTAAACAAATGTAAAATTCAGCAGAAAATATAAGTTGGCGAACAGGTATATATATATATATAATATATATATATATATATATATATATATATATATATATATATATATATATATATATATATACATATATGTTTGTGTGTATGTTAAGGTAGGCCTGTATTTATACGTAATCTGTACACGATCGATGAGGAGCTAGACGGTTGAAATGTAAATGTCTAAAACACAAATTGTTTACTGACTGTACACTCAGACGCTCATAATTGTGTTTGAGCTATTGCATTAATAGGGGAGTGAGATGAAAACTGGGATATCAAATTATACAATTTACATGGTTATGACATTACCAATCATGATAATTAGCGCTCCACGTAATTATTGAGCAATTTTCTGCTGAGCGCTGCCTCACCATGTTGTGTTTGAATTTGTATGAGAAAAAAAAATATTTTTAATTCAGGGGAAGTAACTGTAAAATTTCTGTACACAAATTAGGACAACACGAGTTATTTAAAATGTGGAATGCTGAGAATAAACAATTTCTGTTGGTTAATTAAATGCTGTTTTATCCCGAGACATAAAAAAAATATATAAAAGAACACAGTGTAAGCAGAAGGCAGTTAAATATTGAAATAACCGTGAAAAATGATAATGTGTATGAATATTTTTTGAACAATCAATAGTTCTCATATTTTACATCAGGTACTTCTTGATGTAAAATAAATACAATAAACCCATATATATATATATATATATATTATATATATATATATATATATATTATATATATATATATATATATATATATATATATTATATGTATATATGGTATTGTTTATGGGAAAGAAAACAAGAAAAACAAGGCGGAGCGTTAAATGCAAAACTAACATTTGAAAGAAGCTTGGTCGAAAGGACAACATCACCTTTCTGTTCCATACAACAACATCACCTGGTTCCATAGACCAACATCACCTGCCACTCATCTGGTCAAGTGCCCGACGTTTCCTGGAATCCACAGCCTTCTTTAGAATCTGGTTCCTGAACACCTCCCAGCTGGCCATCGTCTCGATGCTGGGGACTGCAGGGTCTCTTCTGTGGGGGAGGGGGCGGATCTGGGGAGCAATCAAAATTTTTATCTTCTACTCTATTTTTTTTAAAGGTAAACTTATGAATAGAATATCCATCCAACACACACAATTTGAGACTGATAAAATACAAATGGTAGCCGCAGTGAGGTTAATTCAATTAGTAATAAAGCAGACAGTTTTAGCTACCTCGCAAGTTAAAGGACAGTCTAATCTGTAACCACACTGTTATGTGCTGACGAAGACCTTGGGTAGAAACGTCCATAGTATTTGTAACTGTCTTTAACTTGTGAGGCAACTAACATTATCTGTTTCATTACTGAATGTTAAAATATATAGCTTCTTATTTTACACGTAGCCTAACGTAGCATTTTCTACTCTCGTTTAAGGTAGGTAACTCATACGAGAATAAATGATGAAAAAATAATACCAGTCGTTTCCCTTTGACTACGATACCGTTCATTAGAGGTTTATAGGCCTATATTTTTATATGCTAGAAACATTTATCTATGCGCTAAAAAAATTATCGAAAATTATAGAGTAAGTTTGAAAAATATATATACATTTTTTTATTCGTTTAAATCTACAAACAGAGTTTTAAAATATTAAAACATTGAGCCTAATATATGACGAAAAAATAAACACAATTACAATAAAGGTTTAGCTGTCAATTTAAGTGGAATAATTGCATTTAGCTATTTGCAAACCTAAAATCCGTAATGAAAAACAAAACAGATCAAAAATGCAAACAGAAAAGTGCGAACAAAAAAATGCGAAATATAAATTGCGAACTGATAAAATGCGAACCTCCCTCCTGATTTGTTTCCGTAACTGCTCCGACGTGTGGTCCAAGAAGAACTTCCGGTTGATCATTATAAGCTCCGCCCCTCCGGATACGAGGTTGGTGCTGGTTGTCTTGTTTAAAGACTTGAAGACACACGACTCGAGACCCTGGGGATGTAGCCATAGCTACATTTGTAGTAGTTGGCTACTCTGGCTACACTACTGAATGCTACTGCAGGACAAATACCAGTGCAAAAAAATCCGTGACGAAGTAGAGAAATGGGGAACAGGCAGTGTTTCTTCCAGACTTTTTTCTCCGGGGGGGCACTTGAAATCTTCGGGGGGGCGGTAAACTTTCTTCGGGGGGGCGGACACTGTTAAAAGTATATATTTTCTATATAAATTATATAAATTTCATTTCGTTCGGGGGGGCGGTAAAAAATTTTCGGGGGGGCTTCGCCCCCCCGAAGAGATGCCTGAAGAAACTCTGGGAACAGGGGCGAGGGGGTTGTCCATAAATGACGTCACACTCGTAGGGGAGAGGACGGGGGGGAGGTTATTCGGATGGTGTGACGTCCACATTTTTTGCATTATAAAAATTGCAATTTTAGAAAAAGAATGCTAGCCGTTATTTCGAGATTTAAAAAAAAAACTGTCTTAATAAATTGTAATAGGAATTGATTAAAATACCCTATGTTGACAGAGTTTCAGACAAGATTTTGGAAAAAAAATATCAACGTTTTGAGAATATTCATCTGCAATTTTGATGGGGAGGGGGGGGGGGTATTGAATTATGAGGTATGACGTCATTTTAGGTGTGTGTGTGTGGGGGGGGGGGGGTCATGCTTTTTGTGACGAAGTGTGACGGATAGGAGATGGGGGGGGGGGGGGGGGGGGGGGGGGGTGGTAAAAATCGTCAAAAAAGCGAGACGTCATTTATGGATGACCCACTAAGGCTGACCTAAACTAAAGTCACCCCCCCCCCCCCACTGGTAACCGAACTGTAGCTGTTTCCAATAATTACTTCATAATCTAACCACATAAAGTCCCGGGACTATACGCATTCCCGTCCATCTTCCTTATTGCTCCGCCTAATGACTTAACCGAGAATCAGAAGGGATTTTAAATATAAAACTTACATAAACGTCACGAGGACATAACTTTAAAATCTCCACAAACACACAATTTCTCATTCCCTCCCCTTGGTGGTCTTCGGGTTTCATGGGAGGCGACTCAGGGAAAAATTCTCATCCATCATATCAGGGAGTTCTGGAACCTGAAAAAAACATCACAACAAACATGTTGGAAACATCGAGAAATCTCAAACAGCCCACAATGTTCAAATCTAGAACACTCACATAAAATTTGATTTAATTAAACGAAATAAAAAAATAGACACAAGAACATAGAGTGGAATGTTAAAATTCCTTTTCTAAATATCTGCATTGAATATTTTGCTCATGATGTTTTTTTCCTAAACGAAGATGTCTTTATGGTTAGTGAAAGAAGACTACTCTGCTGTTATTCTAATATTACCTGGTCTGTCATCCAACATACTCACCTGACATCCACACAACTCACCTGGTCTGACATCCAACAACTCACCTGACATCCAACAACTCACCTGACGTCCATGTACTCACCTGATATCCAACAACTCACCTGACATCCAACAACTCATCTGACATCCAACAACTCACCTGACATCCAACAACTCACCTGATATCCAACAACTCACCTGACATCCAACAACTCACCTGACATCCACACAACTCACCTGACATCCAACAACTCACCTGACATCCACACAACTCACCTGACATCCAACAACTCACCTGACATCCAACAACTCACCTGACATACAACAACTCACCTGACATACAACAACTCACCTGACATCCAACAACTTACCTGACATCCAACAACTCACCTGACATCCAACAACTCAACTGACATCCACACAACTCACCTGACATCCAACAACTCACCTGCTGGACTACTGCCCCATGTTTTTGCTCCATGATGACGTCAAGACACTGTAGGTGGTCAAGACCATTTTGCTCTGCTCAAACAAACAAACAAACATACAAATAATTATCTCAATTATCTCAGTTTGAATTACTTTTTAAATTAGAGATACAAAAAACAAAACAATTTTGGATCAAAATACAAAAACATAATTTTATATGACCATTAAAATCTAAAAAATACTTCGCTGTTTATATTTATATTAAAAAAAATATGCCCGTCTATCAAATTAGCCAATCATTGAAAGTTTTACATTACCTTCTTTGTTACGTTCTTGAAGGACCAATGAAATCGCGCCTTTCTTCCTTCCTCTCCTATCACTGCTGATGTTTATCGTGTACCCTCTCTGATGCCCAATGCTTGGGAGCGGAGAGTAAGGGGATAGAGAGGAACCAGTCGGCTGGATAACCAAAGGCTCTGTACAGTTAAAATTTATATCAGTTTGCACAGAGTTTCTTCCAGGCATCTCTTCGGCTTCGCCCCCCCCCCCCCCCGAAATTTTTTACCGCCCCCCCCCCCCCCCGAACGGAATGAAATTTATATAATTTATATAGAAAATATATACTTTTAACAGTGTCCGCCCCCCCCCCCCAAAGAAAGTTTACCGCCCCCCCCCCCCCCCCGAAAATTTCAAGTGCCCCCCCCCCCCCCCCCCCGGAGAAAAAAGTCTGGAAGAAACAATGAGTTTGCATATCGCAGATAAACGGAGAAGCGTAGCGAGGGGGGGGGGGGGGGGTGCGGACTGCACCGGATGACACCATTTAGGGGGGGGGGGGGGTGACACCAAGGCAAAAAATAGCAAGATATAGAGAGAAAAATTTGAGGGGGGGGTGCAAATCGAAAGTTTGAGGGGGGGGTGCAAATCGAAAATTTGAAAGTTTGTCCCCGGGAAGGGTCGCTGCGCCTCTGGGGGGTGACACCATTAAGTGCCGCACCGGGTGACACCCGACCTCGCTACGCCACTGGATAGAGGGCGTAACTATGGGGGTGGGGTGGGCTGTCACTCCCCCCCCCCCCGTGTACTGACCCTAGGGGGTGTTAAAATGTGTTAGGGAACAAATAAATGAAAAAACGTTTTCTTGAACAGCCTTACATGATTATACTATTACTATTTGGCTTCGCAGGCTCATTTAAATTTTCTTCACATTAATTGTGTGACACAAAGGTAAAAACAGTGATTGGTAATAAGTGCCGACTATTCCGAATTGGGAACGGGGTGCAATTTTTTAGCCAAAGTGAATAACTTTACTTGTAGGTGGAGGGGGGGAGGATAGAGGTGATTGGTCGCTCAGGACACTGGATACCACAAGGACAGATATTGATGTCAGTATTCTAGTTTGATCATATCCCACATAACCACCAGTTGCTAAGCAAGTTAGCTACTTTGATAAGACAAGTATATAACCCCCCCCCCACCACAAAAAAAAAAGAGCGGTATAATAGATATCGAACCCCGAAAAACATGCGCAGAAAAGAATTGGAGTTTAAGCTGTGCTGTTTTCTTTTTGTAATATAGGGTCTATACACAACTCCTATCCTTGACATCATACCAATGAAAAAACACTTAAACAATATTACCACGTGACCACTTACTATTTATAGAAGTTGCCTGCGATTTGTCAACAAACACTCCATTGTGCACCGCGCGCAGGGCTTTGATGACGCTGCATGACCCAGATTTCACCACGTAGATCCACTCAGACGTGTTGCTATCGCGACACAGCAACACACCGCGTCTAGACAACAGATCACGTGACATTTTTAAAACACGGTAATATTAGCAACACAGTTGTGTACACATAATAATCAACGCCTTAAAAAAACAACAACCCATAAATGCTATTTTTGTGTTTTTGCAAATTTTGTCGTAATGGTGGTCGTAAAATAATATTTTAAAAAAAAAACGATTTGTAGCTGAAAAAAAATTCAGGGGTTTAAAATTTTAAAAATAAAAGTTTTTAAATTATTAAATGCTAAGAACTCGAAATTCTTGTAGTTAAGGCTACATTTCCATTTATTTATGTCCTGAGACGTAGCTAAAGGCGTACGGATAGGGTGGCGGCATCAATTCCCCCAGGGGTTCCGACAGGGGTAGAAAACAATATTTAAAACGTCCCTTTCAACTACGATTCTGATGTACACACAGTGAAGGATAAGCAAATAAACTGTCCCAGGTCCTTCCAATCTGATTGGGGCATCCATAAATGACGTCACACTTGAAGGGGGGTGGTCCGTAATTTTGTGACGTCACACAGGCTGAGCGATTTCCGATAACCGGAAGTGGTACTTTTTCTACTTTGAATTTTTCAAAAGCCTATAACTTGAGTACTATGTCAGATAGATACATGAAATTTCACATGTAAGTAAAAGATCTAATTCTCTACCTTCTGTCAAATTTTGAGTAATTTCCGTTGACCGGAAGTAGTAATTTACGCTATTTCCGATTTCTCAAAAAACGCATGTAAATTTATAAAGTACTTTTAATATTGCGCACTATTATGAACATCTTTATTTGGCGTTCGCTTGGTGCGCAATTCTTTTTTCAATGAGATTCTATTCTATTTTAAAAAGTTTAAGTATTTAACTATATCCCGAGTTCCCATCCCCAGTTGTTTTACATAAGAATATTAGAGAAAGTTTAGGGGAGATCACTCCCGGTTTATTTTCTTTTTTTTTAACCAGTAAGTAAACTTTTTTAAAAACTGTTTTAAATATTTATTTATTGAATACAGTGGGACAAATTGACAATAAAGAACAACACGAAAAATGCTCTGTGTTTGAAAATATTCACAATATAGCACATCAATGTCAGTTTTGTAGCAATTTGATTTACGTTACATCAATGTCAATATTAAGGAGATATAGGATTCACATCTGTGAGATTCAAATCTTAGAGAACTTGATCCTGGCTTAAACTCCTTTTGTTCTTATTTTTACTATGTAAAAGCCATCTTCTATAAATCTTTCTACTGTAATCTCAAACGTTCTCACCACTATGTAAAAGCCAACTTCTATAAATCTTTCTACTGTAATCTCCAAGTCTCCAACTTTTTCAATTTGTATCAGGCCTGTGGGTGTAGACTTGAGGGTTGCCCAGTAGCGTAGCGAGGGGGGGGGGGGGCGGCGGGGGGGAGACATATGTTCCCGGGTGCCGACCTTAGGGGGCGCCAAAATGGGTTGAAAAATATATTGAAAGGTTGAGGGTGGTGCAAATCGAAAAAAATCCATTGTTTGAAAATTAACACAATCCGTCACATTTTACAATCCCAAGCTTTTTAAAAATCTTTATTAAAATGTAAGTTTCTTTCAAATCAAATATGTCAAATTTTGTTAAATAAAACAGATGAAAAGGCTTTAACATCAAAGTTTATACTATCATTTCAAGTTCTCTGGCATATTCAATGGTTTGTGTAGCTAATATTTTGGCAGGGATGGTGTGATCAGCATCCTTAGCTTCATGAATAAAGTGAAAAAAGTCTTTCTCTAATCTCCATTTTCTCTGAGTAGCATATTCCTTCATTGGTTTTTGGGCTTCAAAGAAAAGCATTCTCGCAGCTTTATTAAGACCAATACGGTTGTATGCTTTTTCTATGCTCCCTGCTATTTCATCTCTGATTGTGTTCAGTAAAATATCAAGTTATAAGAAGTTATAGTTGTCTGCTGGAGCATTTCCTCTGGCTAGAAAAAAAACCTTATTGTAAATTCCCTCCATCTCGGGCAGATGAGGCTCGTTAGCTGGGGACAGCCACTCTTCTAGGAGAGACAACTCCAAAATCAAACTACTGCTGCCTTGTAGTTTGTTCTTGGTTGGACAAAGGCTATGGAAGCAAATCCAAAAAGAAAAGCAGGCTGAAATCGGAGTCAACGGCCTCAATGGCGCAAAACCAGTTGACACGTAATCCTTAATTGTGATGGAGGCGTGGTCGAGTCGGCAAAGCTCATGTTTGATAAATTCGAAAAAAAGTCTCGAGTTCAAACCCTCTGGCAAATAAGGCTCGATCCCTCCAAACACTAAAAATTAAGAACGAAGAAGAAGAAGAAGAAGAACTTCCCTCCATTAAATACTGTTCCATGCTTACTGGATGTTTGATATAATTGTTATTCTGAATCTCCTTTACATGTAAACGTTCCAGTTCAGTGTGGAATTCTGCTAATCTATTTTGAGAACGTAGACACAAAAGGTTCAGTCCTAAAAGCTGGTATTTGAATGCAGACTCTGGAAGGTCATCCTTGTAATCCATATAATAGCATTTTAATTGGGCCATGTATCTTTCAAATGCTGGAATATCCTTTTTATCAATAGCCCACTGTGCTCCGATTTTAGGAATATCTCAAGCAATTAGCAATTCTTGCTTGGTCACTGACGCCTCTGTTGTTGGTAGAAATGCAACTTGGGTGAGTGACAACTTGAGTCTGGAAAGAAGTTCTCTGGACTTTTCTAAATTTTGTGGCTTACTATCCCATATACGTTTTAAATTTCTTTCATCGTAGCGTTAGCCATTTTTGTTTACTGTTGTACCTTGTAAGTAAACTTTTTTTTTTCTTTTTTTTTTTAAAGTAAACTATAAACTATTTCGACTCCGCAGACAAAAAGATTACTGCTATAAATTTTCTGATGGACTATAAATTCTAATGTATTTAGAAATAACGCAAAGCATTCATTAATCCATTCAAAACCTGTAATATTTACTGGATTTACAAAATCATCATTTTAATATAGTTTTTTTTGTATAAAACAGATTTATAAAATTAAAATTTACAAAGAAAGTTCGATTTACTTTTTAAAATTCAATGATTTAGAGAACGTTTAGTTTTATAAGCTTATACGATAGTGTTTTCTCCCTTTGTATTAAGAATCATAGACTTGAATAGCTGGTTCCAAATGGTTCCAAATTTGTGTTGCTAGAAAGCATGTTTTTCAACCAAAATTAAATATTATGTAACATTTGTGTAATAAGTGAAAAATTACTTCTGTTTTCATTAAGGCTAGAAATAGTCAAAGAAATATTTTTTTTAAAAATTTGGATTGGTAGAGTCAGGGTGTTGTGGTGATTGGGGGTGTTATATCATTTAATATAAATACAATATTACGCTATACCAGGGGTTCCCAAACCCGTGCCCGCGGGCGCCATGGCGCCCGCCGAACGATTCGTATGTGCCCGCCTCTCACTATTCGACAGAGACAGAATTTTTGTATAAACATTATTGAAAGGTTGAAGGGGATGGAAATCGAAATTTTGAGGGGGGGGGGGGCGGTGCAAATCGAACATTTGAGATGGGGGGGTGCAAATCAAAAGTCTGAGGGGGGAGGGTGCAAATAAAAAATTTGAGGGGGGGGGGGGGTGCAAATAAAAAATTTGAGGGGGGGTGCAAATCGAAAGTTTTGTCCCCGGGCGACGGGAAGGGTCGCTACGCCTCTGGAAGGAGTTTGTCGATTTAAAATAGGTGGTGCCCGCCACCCTACCGATATTTTAGAATGTGCTCTAGAGTAAAAAAAGGTTGGGAACCCCTGCGCTATACAGTACTATACACCATAGATCACTATTGTGTATTTTTATCATGGAAAACTATTGTTCTAACTTTTATTGTTTTACTCTCCCTGGCCATTTCGGTTGCCTTTAATGAGTGCTTAAGGGCAGTTTTTGAAAATATTTGAATTTATACAATAATTCTAAACGGCTTTTCAACGGCTTATATTCGATACAAAAATATAAAAATGAGTGTAATCGATGGTTCCCAAACGGCTTTAATTTTTACAAATGTATCTATAAGTTTATCACTTGCCATATTTTTAAAACGATTTAAAAAAAAAATAGTATTATTACTTAGACCTTTAATGCCTATAGTACTGTCAACTTGCAAAGGGGAGGTAATTAGTGATTGGCTGTTCAGCTAATAGCTGATATTCTTAATATCATTGATATTAACATTCACCAACATGACATCTATAGGCCGTGCCAGATGAACTACATAACCATTTCGTATGCTTAAAAATGTGTTTCCCCTGCATTCTTGATCAGATTTACAGGGTAGATTTGAAGATATGTTAAAGAGAGGCTAACTTGGTCATTTATCATTTACCGATTTCAAATAATATTTTTTTATCGTTTGCTAATATCAACTAATAAAAATAAAAAATAAATAATTTCATCATTACTTATTTCAGATGATTAAAATAAATAAACTGGGAGTGATCTCCCCTAAACTTTCTCGAATATTCTTATATAACACTACGTGGGATGGCAACTCGGAATATAGACATGATTTCTAATTACTTAAACTTTTTAAAATAGAATAGAATCTCGTAGAAAAAAAAAGAATTGCGCCAAAACAAAATATGCATAATAGTGCAGAATATTATTAGTACTTTATAAATTTACATGCATTTTTTTTTTGCGTAAATTACTACTTCCGTTCAACGGAAATTACTCAAAATTTGACAGATCGTAGAGAATTAGATCTTTTACTTACATGTGAAATTTTATTTATCTATCTGAAATAGTACTCAAGTTATAGGCTTTTGGAAAATTCAAAGTAAAAAAAGTACAGCTTCCGGTTATAGGAAATCGCTCAAAAGTTGATACGGATCTACGATTTTGATAAAATACTTATATATGAAATTTCATCAACCTAGCTGTAACGGTACTCAAGTTATCGTGTTTACACACGGACAGACACACACACAGACACACACACACAGACATACGGACAAGATTGCAAAATTATGTTTTTCCGTATCAGTGAGGTGTAAAACGTCGAGATTTTTGGAAATCTCGATTTTTTTTTTTTGCACGATTACAAGACTTTCTCTATACTTCGTATATACGAGAAAGTAAAAATGAGCTTAGTTAACCGTTGAAATTGATTGCAAATCGAACCACAAACCCATCGATAGACGATATGTGAGGTAAGAAACAAAACAACTTGTTGGAATATAAAAGCAATTAAATCCATTTTGGAATGAAATAGATCTACAACGTTTTGGTATTCGTATTTTATATAAAATAATGTTATCATTTACCGATTTCAAATAATATTTTTTTAATCGTTTGTTAATATCAATTAATAAAATAAAATAAAAATAATTTAATCATTACTTATTTCAAAATATAAAAATAAAAATAATTATTTTGGAAATACCTAATTTCAACTAATTAACATAAAGTTTTATTGTACACTAATTTTAGTATGGCGTGGTCTAGCGGTAGACCGCACGCTCGCTAACCCGAAAGCTACGAGTTCGGATCCTAGGTTCGCGGCCGCAGGTCGTCCATGACAGAATTGCCCCTCATGTCCAAATACAATTTTATTTTTTTGTTTACTAATATTAATATATTAATGTAAAATGTAATCCTATCATTCACTAACTTCAGTTAAATTTAATTAAACGATTTTTTGGTGCAAAAACCAGCTTTTTAGCGCAATTTCCATTCTGGAGAATTGCGTTTATTAACTCGTCATTTCTGGGAATGTATGGATGGATGAATGTATGGATGTATGAATGTGTGTCCGGACTTTAAGTCGTATCTCCTCCTCAACGAAGCAATATCGATGACTAGTTACAAAAGCAATTATGTTAAGCAAGTTACGAGGATGAACATAGGCCATAACAATTCAGGGTTTCTTTCATGGATTTCCCGAAAAAGCCAAAAAACCTGAAAAAAAAACAGTTTTGTGGCCCATATCTCGGCAACCAGACCACTTAGCGACTTGAAACATGTACCAATCGATTCCTGCCATAATTTAGAACAATATTGCCGAAGAAAGTTTTAAAAAATATCCTTTCGTTCGGTCACAATTTTTTTTTTTGAATTAATTAAAATTTGGGCCGAATTAGTAGGCATGTTTTTCCAACCACACCACACGCGTCATCACGTTCAATAGCTGCGCCATCACGTTCAATGGCTGCGACATCACGTTCGGTAGCTAGGCGCGCAATGGTTTTTAGTCATGTTACTCTATTGTAAATAAAACGTGTAAAATACTGAAAAAAAAATTAATAAAAAACGTTTTAATAACTAACCAATGGTTTTACTAACCCTGCTCTTGATTTACGCTACGACAGAGCTATTTTTAGATAACATAAGGAAATTGCGCTAAAATTGTCACTAGACTTTTTTTAATTACTTGTTTTAGTTTTGTACCCCATCGTCCTTTAACTATCTTAATGTTATACCCAGTATACATTAGGATTTCTTTAGAAAATCTCTACTATCCCCCATCCCTTCGCAAAATTGCGTCCACCTTCTCTTCGCCGCCACCCCCACTCAGAAGCTCCGCCCCCCCCCCCCCCAAGTAAGTCTACCGCCCCTCCCCCCTCCCTCCCCGAACTAAATGAAAATTATATAGAAAATATATACTTTTAACAGTGTCCGCCCCCCCCCCTCGAAAAAAGTCTACTCCCCCCCCCCCCCCAGAAAATTTCAAGTGCCCCCCCCCCCCCCCAGGAGAAAAAAGTCTGGAAGAAACACTGCCCCCCACCCCCTGGACGAAATAGAAAAAGTAAATAATTTATTATAAAAAATAACATAGTTAAGCTAATTACTTGTCTAACCCCCCCCCCCCCCCCCCCCCCCCCCCGTTGAGGAAGTTGAAGTGCGCCACCCGGAAATATTCAAGTGCCACTGGTTTAAATAACATCTAATTTGATCTTACCTGACATAGGTGAAGAGTAAAATTTTGGGGTTGGCGACAGGCAGGACCTCGATGGGCCAGTCTCTGAGGATCTGCAGGCTACGCAGGAACCGGATGTGCTCTGGCTCCACCCCCCGCTCCACGTGCATGAAGATGTCAACAAAGTCCTCGCGCCCAACAGCCAATAGATCCACGTCACTCTGACACGTCACCGTGGCGCTACGGCGTGACTTGTGCATCAGAGCAAGCTCCTGGGGGTGAGGGGGGGCGGGGTTAAGAAAGAGGGGGTGAGGTCTTTCTTCTTTTCTTCTTCTTCGTTCTTAATTATTAGTGTTGAAGGGGATCGAGATTTATCTGCCAGTGGGTTTGAACTCGAGAATTTGTTCGAATTTATCAACCATGAGCTTTTTGCCGACTCGACCACGCCTTCAACACAATTAAGCGTTACGTGTCAACTGGTTATGCGCCATTGAGGCCATTGACTCCGATTTCAGCCTGCTTTTCTTTTTGGATTTGCTTCCATAGCCTTTGTCCAAGAACAAACCACAAGGCAGCAGTTGTTTAATTTTGGAGTTGTCTCTCCTAGAAGAGTGGCTGTCCCCAGCTAACGAGCCTCATCTGCCCGAGGGTTCGAACTCGAGACTTTTCGGTTAGCAACCTTGAGCTTTACCGACTCGACCACTCCGACCCTAGGGGGTGAGGTGAGTGATGAGGTAGGAGGTCGTACATGGAAGATAGCTGGAATGGGTTCGAGTAAGTTAAATGTCCATGAGCTCACTCAGCTTTGATGGGTACCCAACTCCAGTGGCGTAGCGAGGTCGGGTGTCACCCGGTGCGGCACTTAATGGTGTCACCCCCCCCCCCCCAGAAGCGTAGCGACCCGTCCCGGGGACAGACTTTCAATTTTCGATTTGCACCCCCCCCCCCCCTCAAACTTTCGATTTGCACCTCTTAAAAGACTATTTAACACTCGAATTAATCACTTAACTAAGTGGAATGATCATTTTTCTTTATATAATTTGCTATTTTTTGCCTTGGTGTCACCCCCCTAAGTGGTGTCACCCGGTGCGGTCCGCACCCCCCGCACCCCCCTCGCTACGCCTCTACCCAACTCACATTAAGGAAAGTAAAAGCGGCTGGGCATAGTGCTGATAGCATTATCCTTTCATGTTGCGAGGTCACGAAAACAGGTAAACTCTACTTCATCTGTTTCATGGACTGCCAGTTTCGAAAGGATACCTCCACCTTCAAGATCTCTGATAACCCTTAATGAAGCCTTCTACAATGGTTTAACTACCGTAACTAAAATTCAAACTTTAACACAATCCTAGCCTGTTCTAATAAAAAAAAAAACAGTCCATTGGATTTTTTTTTCAATTAATAATTAATAAGTGACCAGTCTAATAAAGTACTCATTCCAACCAAGATTAAGTGACCAGTCTAATGAAGTACTCACTCCGACCAAGATTAAGTGACCAGCATGATGAAATACTCACACCGACCAAGACAAGATTAAGTGACCAGTATGATGAAATACACACTCCGACCAAGACAAGATTAAGTGACCAGTCTAATAAAGTACTCACACAGACCAAGATTAAGTGACCAGTATAATGAAGTACTCACACCGACCAAGACAAGATTAAGTGTCCACTCAAATGAAATACTCACGCCGAAACTTTTCCCTTTTCCAAGAAAAGCCACGGTCCTGGCTGTTTGTTCGCCGGTCTGTTTGTCTGTGTCAAGCACGATGACGATAGCTGTGGGCAGAGACGATGATGGCGAAAAAGATGACAAAACAAAGGTCAAGAAAATAACAATAAACTTCTTCACTGTTTTATGGGAGAATTTGCTTTAATGTTCTTCTTCTTCTTTCTTCATTGTGATGTTTGGCGTGATTTCCTCCAACACAATTAACTATTACATGTCAATCTGTTACTGCTTTTCTTCATGGATTTGTTCTTTCTTCTTCTTCGTTCTTAATTTTAGTGTTGTAAGAGATCCCCCTCCAACACAATTAAGTGTACGTGTCAACTGGTTTTGCGCCATTGAGGCCATTGACTCCGATTTCTGCCTGCTTTTCTTTTTGGATTTGCTTCCATAGCCTTTGTCCAACCAAGAACAAACTACAAGGCAGCAGTTGTCTGATTTTCGAGTTGTCTCTTCTAAAAGAGTTGCTGTTCACCAGCTATCGAGACGCATCTTCCCGGGTTTCGAACTCGGGACGTTTCGGTTTACAAACTATTAGTTCGACCAGGCAGATTTTTTGGCCAAAAAACGCGAGTGACTGACTGACCTACTGATCTACTGACAAACTGAGCTACTAACACACTGACCTACTGTCCTATTGACGACAGACAGACTACCTGATATACTGACATGCCGACCCACTGACCGACTGGCTTACTGATATACTGACATACTGACATACCGACTAAATGACATACTGACCTACTGACCGACTGACCAACTGACGACAGACAGATTGACTAACTGATCTACTGACCAACTCACCTGTACCAGACAAGATAAAGTAGAAATTATCCGCCATATGACCTTGACGAATGATGACCCGTTTCGATTCAAAACTGAAACAACGGTTACATTCTTGAACGCGCAGAAAAAAATTAAGATCATTTTAATTACGATTTCACAAACATATTTAAATCGGTAAACATAACTACAAAACTTTAAAGGAAAATAGACTTAAAAAACACGGTGATGGTGAACTCACTGAACTCCTTGACCGCTTGTCTCAGACCTAACAGACCTAACAGACCTAATACATAATACACACCATACACAGAGAAGTACTCACTGCTCATACCTAACACACAATACACACACTACACAGAGAAGTACTCACTGCTCATACATAACACACAATACACACAATACACACACTACACAGAGAAGTACTCACTGCTCATACATAACACACAATACACACAATACACACACCACACAGGGAAGTACTCACTGCTCATACATAACACACAATACACACAATACACACACTACACAGAGAAGTACTCACTGCTCATACATAACACACAATACACACAATACACACACTACACAGAGAAGTACTCACTGCTCATACATAACACACAATACACACAATACACACACTACACAGAGAAGTACTCACTGCTCATACATAACACACAATACACACAATACACACACTACACAGAGAAGTACTCACTGCTCATACATAACACACAATACACACAATACACACACCACACAGGGAAGTACTCACTGCTCATACCAGCCGACCCGCACCAAGGACTCCTGCATGGTGATGGGAAACTCACTGAATTCATTGACCGCTTGTCTCAGACCTAACATACCTAACACACAGAGAGAAGTACTCACTGTTCATACCAGCCGACCCGCACCAAGGACTCCTGCATGGTGATGGGGAACTCACTGAACTCCTTGACCGCCTGTCTCAGGGACAACAGCACCTGACGCAGCTGGGGAGGGGTGCGTCTGCTCGGCTCCAGGGAGAGGATGGCCTTGGCCTCGGCGGTTACCTGGATCTGTTGGGTACGTTATGCAAGTATGGTGGTGGTGGTGTGTGTGTTTGGGGGGGGGGGGGGTAATAAAGTAACTCCCCTGGATCTGTTGGGTACGTAATGCAAGTATGGTGGTGGTGGTGGTGGTGGTGGTGTGTGTATGTGTGGGGGGGGGGGTAATAAAGTAACTCCCCTGGATCTGTTGGGTACGTAATGCAAGTATGGTGGTGGTGGTGGTGGTGGTGGTGGTGTGTGTATGTGTGGGGGGGGGTAATAAAGTAACTCCCCTGGATCTGTTGGGTACGTAATGCAAGTATGGTGGTGGTGGTGGTGGTGGTGTGTGTATGTGTGTATGTGTAGGTGTGGGGTTAATAAAGTAAGTAAGTCACCTAGATCTGTTGGGTACGTTATGGAAATGTATGATGTGTATAGCTTTGGCCTCGGCGGTCACTTTTATCTATTGGGTACGTTATGGAAGTCTATGATGTGTATAGCTTTGGCCTCGGCGGTTACCTGAATCTGTTGGGTACGTTATGGAAGTATGGTGGTGGTGGTGTGTGTGTTTGGGGGGGGGGGGTAAAAAAGTAAAAGTTCCCTTTTCAAACCTGACGGTCTATAGGGCAAGTGAAGTAGAGTTCACTTGTTTCTGTGACCTCGGCATTATGAAGAGATAGTGTGGTCAGCACTATGCCCAGCCGCCTTTACTTTCCCAAACGTGAGTTAGGTACCCATCAGAGTTGGGTGGACTCAGGGACTCCTTGAACCCGGATTCGAACTCGAAACTTACGAGTTAGCAGTCCAGCTCTCTACTGCTAGACCACTCCGTCCCAGTGTTGGGGGGGGGGGGGGGGTAATAAAGTAAGTAAGTTCCCCTTTCGAACCTGCCGCTCCTGACGCAAGTTAAGAAGAGTTCACCTGTATCTATGAGCTCGGGGTATGAAGGAATAGTGGCCATTGACTTCAGCCTGATTTTCTTTCTGGATTTACTTCCATTGCCTTTGTCCAACTAAGGACAATCTACACGGCAGCAGTTGTTTAATTTTGGAGTTGTCTCTCCTAGATAGGTTGCTGTCCCCCAACAGCAATATGCCGAGTTGCCTTTCCTTTCCCTAACGAGAGTTCTACTGACTTGAACCTAGATTCGAACTAGAGACTTTCGGGGCGGTAGTTTAGTGCTCTACCGCTATGCCACGCCGTACCATGAGGGTAATAAAGTAGAATTGAAATCGTGTATCATGGACGGATTTGAACAACAGTTAAGGTCGAAAACTTGGAGAAGAATTACACAAACGATACTAGTAACACTGAGTAATTTGTATGTAAATTGTGATTTTTTTTTGAAAAATTTAAAACTTAACACTGACGTTTTCAATAAAAAAAAGCACCTCGAAGAATTTAATTGAAGGATAGGATAGCTTCTTTCTAGGTAACAATTGCAAACACTTTCTAACATTCACATATTTCAAGTTTCACACAATCTTCTTTTTTAAAAAAGTAAACAAATTTCGAAGTTTCGTATATAAATAATAGCTCCTGTACTTAGATCTCTGTAAAATTTTGAAAGATTTCCGGTAGCCGGAAGTTGTATTTTTCTCAAAGGATCATATTATTAGAACTCTTTTACTTTCTTTACTCATTTGAAATGAAGGGTTTAGTCACAAACTTCTGAATTTTTAATACCGTATTGCACTAGAGGTCAGAGGCGTAGCGACACTTCCCGGCGCCCGGGGACAAACTTTTCGATTTGCACCCTCCCCCCACCTCAAGATTTCGATTTGCACCCCCCCCCCCTTCAAGATTTCGATTTGCACCCCCCCCCCCTTAACCTTTCAATTTATTTTTCCAACCCATTTTGGCGTCCCCTAAGGTCGGCGCCCGGGGACATATGTCCGTCCGTCCCCCCCCCCTCCCCATCCCAACCTTTATTGTTATATGAGAAATTCGATAATGTAAACGAGATAATATTCATGCTGTATTTACATTTGTCAATTTAAAAAAAAAGCAGCTTTTATTTCTATTTTAAAACACATGCATCAACATCATTTAAATATTTAAATCAACATGTGTTGGTATTCAAAAGTCTGTAGGATAACTCGAATATCTACAAAAAAAAAGTTTTTTTAACTTTTCAACACAAAACAAAAGTGAGAAATTAATTACTTGGTGAAAGAAATGCGGTGAAAGAAATGTGTATACTTGTGTAAGGGATAATACATAAACAATAGTGACATACATTTTATGAAAGCCGTATTGGTTTTTATTTCTGTACGTTTGTTTAATAGTTTTTTTTTATTATTAGATATAGTGTTATTTTACATTGGACAAAAGGCAGCTGCTAAACGTGTCAAAAAGACTATCTAAGTAGTGATATTTATTTGCATTTAATAATATAATTATTAATATAATAGTTTAATAATACGGTTTTTCATTGTATAAATATAATTGATTTTAAATTGCATAACTTCAAAATATTTTATCATTTTAGAATAATGGTTATTTACAATAAAAATAAAAAATAATTTTGTTATAAATAAATAAAAAATAAAAATTTCTAATGCAATCATTACTTTTTTAGATGTTTGCAAAATTCATTTACAAGTTGTCTCCCATGACATTCTCTGATGTATAAATATTATAACGTTTAAATAAGTTTTCTAATTATTTAGTTCTAGACTTCTTGTAGCCGTAAAAAAAGTTTTGTTATTGATTATTAGTACTATAAATCGACTTTTCATTTCTGATCCCAAGTTTGTGTTTGTAACAGACATCCAACTTCCCATATCGGAAAAATTCTCCTGAATTTTTTTAAAAAAATTTCCCCACCCTTTGACCCCTCTGACCTCTCTGTTGGCCTTGAAGTCCTGGGGGTCAAAGCTGATGCCGTACAGGTCGTAGGCTCTCTTGGACGATGTCCAGCTTTTGTCCAGATAACTGGACCAGATACTGAAGTACCTCTCCCGTCTCTGAGTCCGCTCTCTGGAGAGAAAAAACGTCGCATTCAGCCAGATTTAGCTGTAGAGAGGTCAGGATGACGTAAAACACAAATCAACCTATTATAACAATAAAAGCCATCATGATCTGAATCATATCAGACAGCAAGTTGGATATGGCGAAACTTGCCCAAGTAGCATGGCCCCGGAGAATACAGAGCACGTTCTTCAGGACAGTTTTTTATATAGACAGTCGCGATCCAAACACTGGCCCCTATACACCCCATTCATGGGGAAGAAAAACTATATGGAGCAAGCGGATCTGGAGATCACAGTCTAGTTCATACACGAAGTTGGACTTGTTGTTTAAATCCTACACAATAAACTAAATCAAGAACGCAGAAAAAGAAGATATCACACAGTCAGGTATAGCTGTGCAAAGACCAGAAACGTCTCAATCAGCTAAGCCTAGAGTTCAGAAATAAATGTGTCTCGACATATATCAGCCAGCCAAGTATAGCTGTATCGAGGTCATCATGACATGAATCATACCAGCCAGGTATAGCTGTATCGAGGTCATCATGACATGAATCATACCAGCCAGGTATAGCTGTATCGAGGTCATCATGACATGAATCATACCAGTCAGGTATAGCTGTATCGAGGTCATCATGACATGAATCATACCAGCCAAGTATAGCTGTATCGAGGTCATCATGACATGAATCATACCAGTCAGGTATAGCTGTATCGAGGTCATCATGACATGAATCATACCAGCCAAATATAGCTGTATCGAGGTCATCATGACATGAATCATTACCAGCCAGGTATTGCTGTGCAAAGGTCAACATAACCAGAAACAAATTAGTCAGCTAAGGGAGAGTTCATAGGTCAACTTGTCCGGAAACTCCCCAGGTGACCCTCATTTACAGACACATTCCTTATGTGCCCTTTGTGGACCGTATGGACGCAACCACGCCTCAATGTGGAACCCAGTTTTGGGCGATTCCTTCAAGTTCGGTCCATGTCATTTCAGTTACATATGGTTAACTGACAACTGATTTTTTTTTAGCGCAATTTCCATTCTGGAGAATTGCGTTTATTAACCCGTCATTTCTGGATGGATGGATGGATGGATGGATGAATGTGTGTCCGCAGCTTTAAGTCGTATCTCCTCCTCAACGAAGCAATATCGATGACTAGTTCCAAAAGCAATTATGTTAAGCAAGTTACGAGGATGAACATAGGCCATAAAAATTCCGGGTTTCTTTCATGGATATCCCAGAAAAGCCAAAAAATCTCGAAAAAAAAAGCAGTTTTTGGCCCATATCTCGGCAACCAGACCACTTAGCGACTTGAAACATGTACCAATCGATTCCTGTCATAATTTAGAACAATATTGCCGAAGAAAGTTTTCAAAAATATTCTCTCGTTCGGTCACAAATTTTAAAATTACATAAACACCTACAAACCGATTGTTCTTCTAGCTTGAACGCACCCCAACATTATACGTCAGAGCTATTTTTAGATAACATAAGGAAATTGCGCACAAATGTCACTAGACTTTCTTAATTAACTTGTTTCTACGTTTGTCGTGGTTTAGACTGACTTCCAAAGTCTAATTGACACAAAAAAAAAAAAAAAAAAAAAAAAAAAAAAAAAAAAAAAACGTACAGAAAAATAAAATAAGTGAGCACAGAAATGTACACCGTTGTAAGCATTAAAAAGTGTAAAGTATGATAATTACGGGGACGGTATGGTCGGGTGTAGAGCGCTCGACTGCTAACCCGAAAGTCTCGAGTTCGAATCCTGGTAAGGACTTTAGCCTACCGGACGTCCTTTTGTCCACCCAGCTTTAATGGGTACCTGGCTCACGTTAGGGAAAGTAAAAGGAGCTGTGCATAGTGCTGACCACGACGTGCCGAGGTCAAGAAACAAACTCTACTTCTACCAATCAATTTTTAGGTCTGAAAGAAGAACTTCGATTTTTTACGTTTGAAAAATTACCTGCTGGTGTAAGTTGCCCTCAACAGATGTAACACCATCTTCACGGCTTTGCGGAACTTCATCAGTGGCTGAAAATATAGTTTCAATAATTTCATCAGTGGCTGAAAATATAGTTTCAATAATTTCATCAGTGGCTGAAAATATAGTTTCAATAATTTCATCAGTGGCTGAAAATATAGTTTTAATAATTTCATCAGTTTGCCATAGAAGTCTATCAAAACTAGCGTAAAGACCAATTAGTAAAGCAACACCAGAACATAACGGCTTGGCAGAAGTGGTGGGGGGGGGGGGGGATACATCTCGAAACGTCTCCGACTAGGGAGATTAATCGAGTCAATATAGATCTTGTAAAATACTGGGAAAAGCATTTGAAACTGTTATGGTTCATTTATTAAATTGTAAATGAGCGTGAACAAAAATTAAGTTATAAATGGTATTTAAATTAATTACAGTAATCAACATATTCATATAAAACTCATCCATCAATGATCAATGATTAATTCAATAAAATATATAGATGGTAGCAACATAAAGGAAATAAAAAAATGTGGGGGGTGGGGGGCAAGTTTTTTAAACGTCAAAAATTAACTGACTTTGTAAACAAATCAATTACAATAAATAATTAAAAACACAGTTGAAAGCAAAATTGTTTTTAATCAACATTTGTTCATGTTATTAAAATAATAAAAACATAATAAATTTAAAAAAAACACCAAAAAATTCATAAAAAACGTTTTAATAACAAGCTTTTATGTAACAATGCACTAAAAAGTAGAAAATAAATTATAGACTACTATTTAAATAACTATAAAGAAAAGCGTGGGTAACTTTAGTATCTATTGGATACCTTTACTAATGTTAAGGAAGACACCCACGCTTTTCTTTATAGTTATTTAAATAGTAGTCTATAATTTATTTTCTACTTTTTAGTGCATTGTTACATAAAAGCTTGTTATTAAAACGTTTTTTATGAATTTTTTTTTCAGTACTTTACATGTTTTATTTACAATAGAGTTACATGACTAAAAACCATTGCGCGCCTACTGAACATCACGTTCAGTAGGCGCGCAATGGTTTTTGAACGCAGCCATTACGTGATGGCGCAGCTATTGAAGGTGATGACGCGTGTGGTGTGGTTGGCTAGACATGCCTACTAATTCGGTCCAAATTTTAATTAATTAATAAAAAAGTAATTAGGCATCCAATTAAGTCAAATTTAGTTTCAGATTGCATTGTCTTCATGTCTTGACCCACGTGCCAACTGTGAATCGTGTCGGTCAAGTAGAACTGTCCGAATTTTCACTCCTGCGTTTCTATCTAGACAGACTGTCGACAGACTGTCGACAGAGGAAGTGAGTTAAATAAAAGCTTGTAAAAAAATTCATAAAAAACGTTTTAATAACAAGCTTTTATGTAATGATGCACTAAAAAGTAGAAAATAAATTATAGACTACTATTTAAATAACTATAAAGAAAAGCGTGGGTCACTTTAGTATCTATTGGATACCTTTACTAATGTTAAGGAAGACACCCACGCTTTTCTTTATAGTTATTTAAATAGTAGTCTATAATTTATTTTCTACTTTTTAGTGCATCATTACATAAAAGCTTGTTATTAAAACGTTTTTTATGAATTTTTTTTTCAGTACTTTACATGTTTTATCTACAATAGAGTTACATGACTAAAAACCATTGCGCGCCTTCTGAATATCACGTTCAGTAGGCGCGCAATGGTTTTTGAACGCAGCCATTACGTGGTCGTGATGGCGCAGCTATTGATGACGCGTGTGGTGTGGTTGGCTAGACATGCCTACTAATTCGGTCCAAATTTTAATTAATTCATAAAAAATCAATTAGGCATCCAATTAAGTCAAATTTAGTTTCAGATTGCATTGTCTTCATGTCTTGACCCACGTGCCAACTGTGAATCGTGTCGGTCAAGTAGAACTGTCCGAATTTTCACTCCTGCGTTTCCGTCTAGACAGACTGACGACAGACTGACGACAGACTGACGAGGAAGTGAGTTAAATAAAAGCTTGTAAAAAGTAGTCTAATTGCATCACCAAAATAAGCAAGAGATATAAATTAACGTGGCAGGTGGTAAAAAAAAAGTTGTTAAAATCAATCATAAATTACAACAAAAGAATCTCAGAAACTTTAAATCACACAAAAAAAAAACAACATATCTTTTTCAGTAGAAGAGAGATGGAAATACAGTAAAGATAGAAAAAAAAATGAACAAATAAGACAATCTCAAACACAGCCAGGAACGAAAAGAACCGACCCTGAAATGTTTTGAATTCACCATTTTCGACAGATCACCCTGAGACAGAGTTCTGCGGAGAGATCGGCGGTTTCCGGACTCCCCGGAAATGTCAAACGTCACGCGTTTTGCTGTCTTCCCAGAATACACCTGCCCGTTTACTGGCGGGGTCGTCCATTTTGGACGATCACGTGATCGTCTTCTCTTGGCTGACGTCATAGTGGTCAGCTGGTTGCGCTGGGCTGTCTTGGGCAACCCCAGGACAGGGGCGATAACCTTTGGGTAGTTTCGAGGTAAACAGCTGAAATTTAGAAACGAAATTAGCTTGCAAGTTTGCTGTAAGTTTAACTGTGGATATAGATTTAACAAAAGGGTTTCAGTCGATCGCACCAAACACTAATGGTCTGACAACCCAACTTTCCGGAAGTCTATTAACCTATAACCCAACTTTCCGGAAGTCTATTAACCTATAACCCAACTTTCCGAAAGTCTATTAACCTATAACCCAACTTTCCGGAAGTCTATTAACCTATAACCCAACTTTCCGGAAGTCTATTAACCTATAACCCAACTTTCCGAAAGTCTATTAACCTATAACCCAACTTTCCGAAAGTCTATTAACCTATAACCCAACTTTCCGAAAGTCTATTAACCAATAACCCAACTTCCCGAAAGTCTATTAACCGATAACCCAACTTTCTGAAAGTCTATTAACCGATAACCCAACTTTCCGAAAGTCTATTAACCGATAACCCAACTTTCTGAAAGTCTATTAACCGACAACCCAACTTTCCGAAAGTCTATTAACCTATAACCCAACTTTCCGAAAGTCTATTAACCTATAACCCAACTTTCCGAAAGTCTATTAACCAATAACCCAACTTTCCGAAAGTCTATTAACCGATAACCCAACTTTCTGAAAGTCTATTAACCGATAACCCAACTTTCCGAAAGTCTATTAACCGATAACCCAACTTTCTGAAAGTCTATTAACCGATAACCCAACTTTCCGAAAGTCTATTAACCGATAACCGAACTTTCATAAAGTCTATTAACCTATAACCCAACTTTCCGGAAGTCTATTAACCTATAACCCAACTTTCCGGTAGTCTATTAACCTATAACCCAACTTTCCGGAAGTCTATTAACCGATAACCCAACTTTCCGAAAGTCTATTAACCGATAACTTAATTTTCCAGTAGACCAATTGTCTGAAAATCCAACTTTTCCTAAACACCAACGATTAAAAACGTAATTTTCCTAAGCTTATTATCCGATGAACTAATTTTACGGAAAACTGTCTGAAAATCCAACTTTTCCTTAACACCAACGGTTTGACAACCAAATATTTTGACAGCCTACAGAAAATAAAAACTGAATTAAATTTTTTTTAAAATTGACAAAATTATCTTTGAATTTTTAAAATTAAAAGCGTTTCGCTGAAATGTTTTATTATAATAAAGCAGGGACACTATCACGTGATGGAAACTAGGATGTTAACTAATAGGCAGGATCACGGCTCTAAATTAATAAATGCGGCAGTGTCGAAGACTGCTGCTCTTAAAACTTTCGGTGGATGGGGCCGGACTCAAATTTCTTTTCTTTTGTTTTTGTTTTGGGGGAGGACGGGGAGGATTGGGGGGGGGGGGGGGGAATGACGACACTAACTGGTATATATTTCTATATCAATTTTTCTTCGTTCGGGGGAGGGGGGCGGTACGTGTGCTTCGGGTAAGCCACCCTCCCCCCTCCCCATGACATGCCTAAAGGAACACTTGTGGTCCCTTATATTGTTTTTCTTCTTCTTCTCCCTTTTCAACTCCCCGTGGTACGTGGGCTAGTTTACAACATTTTTCAAAAGCTTTTCTGTAATGTATATTTTTCCTCCTATTTTGTTTGGCGAAAGCTTTTATAGCGCCATATGTTTATTAATAATGATGTCTTATAGTTGAATTAAAACTAATGGAAATAATAGTTTAATTCATTTATCGTAATGTTTATTTTAACTGGAAGGAAACGGTGAAATTCTATTTTATATCAGTAAATACATATTAATACTGTAATGATATAAATGTTTTGAATGTTTTATAATTTCACGTGAATGTCTAATTAAAGGTTTCAAGCGCAGCCATTGATTGATAAGCATGTTATTATCTTGTCAAGGCTGTGTGCCCTTGTCTACACTGAGTATTTAAGTCTCTAGTTGTTTACTTTAGGTGGGGTATAAATGACAGACAGTTGACTAAGCTTTGTTACCCCCTTTAAACGTGGAATGTCTATTTTAATCTTTTATGTGTCAGCATATTTATTTTTAGGACCAAATACGGTTTTTTATGTAAATAAAATCGTGATTGTACAAAAAAAAAAATAAAGACCGTCTTTATGTAACTAAAATTCGTGATATAAAAAAAAACTTAAATAATCTATACTTCAATAATTTGGCGATAGTATAAAAATTAAAAATACTCTGTACCGTGTTTATTTAAATACATTTTTGATAGTATATTAATGTTATTTACCGTCTTTAATTGAATAAATAAGCGCTTGTAAAAAAAATCCTATGCACTCTCTTTTATTTCAATAAATTAATGATAGTTCAGTAATGGTATGAACTGCCTTTATTGAATAGTGATAGATCTTGTATACATTTATTTTTTTATTTTTTCGTATAAAAATGTTCTTTTTTTTTATAAATAAAAATTTTTTTTTTTTTTTTTTTCAATACTTTTATTTGCAATTAAAACAAGTACATCAACATCAAATTTTTTAGCATAACTTTGAACACCAAATGAAAACGAAAGGTTTTGCAAATGTACATAATGAATATTTACATGATGTCATGTATTTGATTATAAAAAAAAATTGCAAAGGATGACAGTAAAAGGGGTGAAGGTCAAATGAAAGTGTCAGAAGTCTGGGTGGGGAGAGGAAAGGAAATTTTTCAGAGAGGGTCAATGGGACAGTGAAGCATTTTCTATGTAGGGAAACAACTTAAGTTGACTAGTTGAAAGGGTGTTGTAGTGTTCACATTGAGTTTTGAAAAGGTTACAGTGTGAAAGATGAGGGGAAAGAGACAAGATTTAGAACTTTAAATAAGTTCTGGATATTGATGTTGCGGTGGGTGGTGGGGTCGTTGGAACAGTTAAAGGGATTGTGGGGTTATCATGTCTGGGGGTAAAGTGGATAGAGGGGGAGAGAGGAGGCGGTAGATTTTTATTTTATTTTTATTTTTATTAATTCAATTGTTTTAAACATTTTAAATCAGTAATAATAATATATTTGATAGATTTTACATAAATAAAAATGTTCTTTAACGTTTTTTATCCAACACATTTGAATTGAATTGAAACTAAAATGTCCCGGCTTTATATAAATAAGTTATTGATAGTACAGTATTAATAAGTACTGTCGTATTGAATAAATTAGTGATGTTACTAACTGTCTACAATGCAACATACCTTGTCAACGACGGCAGGGAGGCGGAATGACGCACCCTCGGCTCCTCTGTCTTCCACTGTTGTTCAATGACCGCAGTCTTCCAAGACTCAACTTTTGTTGAAAAATTCCAAATCCAGTTGGGTAGTCTCCCCTCCATCATCAAACCAATGTCCCGGTATAGGGGACCGTGTAAAGGGAGATCACTCGCGTAGCTTTGACTTCTCCGTGAATTACCATACACGGCGTGTTTAGTTGATGAGCTGCAGGATGGGTCCCGGAAATCGCGCGCGCGATTAACCGGATCCGGATAATTTGATTGACCGGATGATTCCGCTCCAATAACTTTGTTGCCATGAATATTATAATTAACCACGCTCGTCGCTGCCTTATGAGTTTTTAAAAACGGATTCGTTCCGTTATTTTTTGCGGCCCGTGAAGCACGATTCACAATTTTTATTTCCCGGTTTCTCGGAACATTGTTTCCGACAGCTGAACGACGATTTCCGTTCTTGTTTTGCATGTCTTACAAGTAATAAAACAATAAACTTTGATAAAAACACAGCTTTAAAATATCGCTTGGTATTTTTCGCATCAACTACACGATAGTGATTTTACTATCTTAATTCCTATAACTTAAAACCAATATGAAAAAAGAGAACATGGACACAATGATAAGGAATGATTTGAAATTTTGGCTATATCTGGCGAGGTCAGCTTTCTTTAACCAAGTATCATAAATGAAAGCTAATCATAGCTATCGATTTCTAATTAATAACTGCTCGAAAATTATAACAAATGTTTATCGCATGAAGCCTGAGAGACACAGCGGAGCTAAAGATAACATTTTGTAGAGTTATGGTCAGTGTTTCTTCCAGACTTTTTTCTACGGGGTGGGGGGGGGGGGGGGCACTTGACATTTTCGGGGGGGGGGGGGGGGGGGGGGGGTGGAGGGGCTATAATTTCCGGGGATGGGGGGCGGACACTGTCAAACGTGTATTTTCTATATAATTTCCATTTCGTTCCGGGAAGGGTGGGGGGGGGGGGGGACCAAAGAGACGCCCGCAAGAAACACTGGTTATGGAGATTTAGCTCTTTTATTGCAAACAGTAGCTTAGCTGTTGTTCAATGCAAATATTGGAGCGATTTGTAGTTTACAACGATACTTTTTTAAATTCCATATAGAAATTGATAAATAAATAAATAAATATATATATATACATAATATATATATATATATATATATATATATATATATATATATATATATATATATATATATATATATATATATATATATATATATATAGGCCTATATATATATATATATATATATATATATATATATATATATATATATATATATATATATATATATATATATATATATAGGGCCTATATATATATATATATATATATATATATATATATATATATATATATATATATATATATATATATATATATATATATATATATATATATATATATACTAGTTGTACCGGCCAGACCCTGTACTAGCAAATGAGGTAACTGTTATTTATAAAAAAAAAACGTGTTGCCTGGTCGGTAGCTACCCTCGCACCCCCGAAGTACGCCGCTGCCCGACTCCTAATCACCGTTGTCCTTAAAACTATTTGTTATAGCATAAAGATACCCGCTATCAGGCGCTTAGTACGTCATATCTCATGCACGAATTCGGCTATTTGCACGGCTCTTGTGCCGATACACAAACAACTTTTGCCGAAAGCCTCCAGTGCACTCTGGCCGTTTGTGCAATGTTAGATTCGTTGCGGTGTTTAGTTTAAATACGCTGCATTGGGTTATGAGGCCAACATTGTTTAGTTTCTATGAATTATTTTAAAGAAAATTTTTAGAGGTAATAAAACAATTTAGCTGGACCAAGAACGGCGAGGGAATATTAGAAAATTAACTCAAATATGGTCTATTTATTGCTTTTTGGAGGTCGCTTTGAAATTTTTAAACCACCACAGGTTAGGCTTATTTTAACTTATTACATTTACATTTTGTATTTCTGGTTATAAATTATCGTTTCAGAAAATATCTATGTAATTGAAAGCAAATTGAGCCATCGAATTAAAATAAAAAATGTGAAGTATAATGACATTTTTTTAAAAATTCGAAATTAAAGATGTGCTGTAGGCCTACATCAAGGTATATTTTTTTTTAGAAAATATACTTTACAGTGCTATTTAAAAAATTAAGCCTGATAAAGTCTAGTTTAAAAAATTGCAATCTTTGAATTTTAATTGTTTAAGGATTTTGTTTTTGCGACGTAACCTGAGAGCGTTACAACCTATTTATTAGCAGTGTTTCTTCCAGACTTTTTTCTCCGGGGGTGCAGTTGAAATTTTCGGGGGGGGGGGGGGGGGACAACAACAAATTTCGGGGGGGGGGGGGGTGGGCGGACGCTATCAAAAGTATATATTTTCTATATCAATTCCATTTCGTTCGGGGGGGGGGGGGGGGGCGGTAAACTTTCTTCGGGGGGGGGGGGATGTGTGCCGAAGAGATGCCGGGAAGAAACTCTGTTTATTAGTGTCAAAATCAACATGGCTTACTTCAAATTTGACCGTGTTATTTTTTTCCTCTTGTTTACTATTCTTCAAGTCAAACGAGTGACTTCTCGTCAGCTGTCTTCTGATAGTGCTCTCCCCTTGTCCCATGTCTTCCACAGATCTCTGGCGCCGGTTCGGGAAATTCCGGTGCTCGAGTAGAGTGAAAGACGAATTCAGCGGATGATTTTTCAGCTCCGGAACTAGGTCGTGGTCGGCGAGGCTGAAATTTTTGGAGGCGAATTCCACTTTTTTGACGACCTTCACCCCCAGCTTAGGTAGCCCGGCTATCCGTTGGTGTGGTGTCTTGTGTGACATGGTGATGGTTGGATGACCACTGGCGAGAGTCGACATGTTACATCAGTAACAAAACTTCATCTTGAGGGATAGTGAGAGAAAATAATAATCAGTACACTCATACATAAAGACAGTGGCGTAGCGAGGTCGGGTGTCACCGGTGCGGCACTTAATGGTGTCACCCCCCCCAGAGGCGTTGCGACCCTTCCCGGGGGACAAACTTTCATGTTTTCGATTTGCACCCCCCCCCCTCAAACTTTCGATTTTTGCACCCCCCCCCCCCTCAAACTTTCGATTTGCACCCCCCGTCAAGTTTTTCTCTATATATTTTGCTATTTTTTTGCCTTGGGTGTCACCCCCCCCTAAATGGTGTCACCCGGTGCGATCCGCACCCCCCGCCCCCCCCCCCCCCCCTCCCCCCTCGCTACGCCCCTGCATAAAGAGAGTAATACAATGGATAAATCACATGGAATCTCTTTGACTTTGAAGTAAAATTATAAAATATCATATTCATTATATATATATATATAAAAGAAAAACAGAAGATAAATTTTATATCTCAACCAAGTATTATAGCATCTATTTGCTAATTAAAAATTTAGATCAGTCTTAATAAAAAAAAAACCCACATAGTCAGCTGTATAAGCCCTGTTATGTTAAACATACACAAATATAAATAAAAATAACCTTACATTTCATCTACAATTATTTCCTCGTGTGATCCACATATCAGTCTCCATTCCCAGCCCCTACAAGAAACCTATCCTGTAACACTGACACTATTTATACACACCGTTCAAGCCCAAACTCTCGACAGATATTTGCACACTCTATTAACAACAGCTATCTGTGTCACCGTGCAGATATCCAAGGATTAGCAACGCCCTTCGCGTAACAATAATAATCCCACTAACTACCTTGAAAGCTGGAGCACACACAAAAAAAAAAAAAAAACTACGACGCGAGCGAATAAGACAGGATTTATTCCCGTCCAAGTTTTTAGCGCACCGAGTCCCCTGTCATTGGTTGATAGGTGACACGTGAACGGTCCCCTTAAGCAGGAGGCATCGAATTTATGGGCTCTTAAGTCACTTCCAGACCTGGTTAAATCACGTGGTTTGGGGGTGTAAAGATAATACATGTTTAAGTTGTAAGGAGAGGGGGGGTGGGGGGGGGGGGGTTCCCACCATCGATTTAATAACAATACATGACATTCACATGCTGGTGCTGTATTCACTTGTTGGTGCTGTATTCACTTTGTGCTTTCTTGACTTGGTTCTGTAATGAATTGTTGGTGCTGTATTGACTTGTTGGTGCTGTATTGACTTGTTGGTGCTGTATTGACTTGGTGCTGTATTGACTTGGTGCTGTATTAACTTGTTGGTGCCGTATTGACTTGGTGCTGTATTGAATTGTTGGTGCTGTATTAACTTGGTGCTGTATTAAGTTGGTGCTGTATTGACTTGGTGCTGTATTGACTTGGTGCTGCATTGACTTGGTGCTGCATCGACTTGGAGGTGTATTGACTTGTTGGTGTTGTATTGACTTGGTGCTGTATTGACTTGGAGCTGTATTGACTTGGTGCTGTATTGACTTGCTGGTGCTTTATTGACTTGGTTCTGTATTGTATTGACTTAAAACTGTTTGACTTGGTGCAATATTGACTTGGTGCTGTATTGAATTGGTGCTGTATTGACTTGGAGGTGTATTGACTTGTTGGTGTTGTATTGACTTGGTGCTGTATTGACTTGGTGCTGTATTGACTTGGAGGTGTATTGACTTGTTGGTGTTGTATTGACTTGGTGCTGTATTGACTTGGTGCTGTATTGACTTGGTGCTGTATTGACTTGCTGGTGCTGTATTGACTTGGTTCTGTATTGTATTGACTTAAAACTGTTTGACTTGGTGCTGTATTGACTTTGTGCAATATTGACTTGGTTCTGTATTGACTTGGTGCTATATTGACTTAGTGCTATATTGACTTGGTGCTGTATTGACTTGCTGGTGCTGTATTGACTTGGTTCTGTATTGTATTGACTTAAAACTGTTTGACTTGGTGCAGTATTGACTTGGTGCTGTATTGACTTGGTGCTGTATTGACTTGGTGCTGTATTGACTTGGTGCTGTATTGACTTGGTGCAATATTGACTTGGTTCTGTATTGACTTGGTGCTATATTGACTTAGTGCTGTATTGACTTGGTGCTGTATTGACCTGGTGCTGTATTGACTTGGTGCTGTATTGACTTGGTGCTGTATTGACTTGGTGCTGTATTGACTTGGTGCTATATTGACTTGTTGGTGCTGTATTGACTTGGTGCTGTATTGACTTGGTGCTATATTGACTTGGTGCTGTATTGACTTGTTGGTGCTGTATTGACTTGTTGGTGCTGTATTGACTTAATGCTGTATTGATCTTTTAAGACTTAACAATTCCGCAGCGATAAGGCACATTGTACCCAACGCCCGCATACCTACCATCTAAGGTCAGAAATCGATTTTTGGTCGATCAAAGATCGCAGTCGAGTGGATGTATACTTCAGACGTAGAGCACTTGAGCGTGAAGATTGATAGATTGCTGATAAACACGTGCAGTAAGTATGCATGAAGAGAGTGGCCATTGAATCCCTGCACTGGGTAAATATAAACACAGTTTTACCACTACCCCCTCAACTACAACACACATACTCTCTCAAGATAAAGTATTGCGCTACGTGCTTTACAGAGCTGAGATTAACAATACAAGGTTACATATGGTTATAGACTAGTGGCGACAAAGCAGAGGCGTAGCGAGGGGGGGGGGGGCGGGGGGGGACATATGTCCCCGGGCGCCGACCTTAGGGGGGGGCGCCAAATTGAAAGTTTGAGGGGGGGTGCAAATGAAAAGTTCGAGGGGGGTGCAAATCGAAAGTTTGAGGGGGGGGGGGTGCAAATGAAAAGTTCGAGGGGGGGGGTGCAAATCGAAAGTTTGAGGGGGGGTTGCAAATGAAAAGTTCGAGGGGGGGGTGCAAATCGAAAATTTGCTCCCGAGGGGGGCGCCAAATTGAAAGTATGTCCCCGGGCGCCGGGGAAGGGTCGCTACGCCTCTGCGACAAAGTTACCCACAAAACATAGGGATAAAGTAAGACGATAATCCAATAACAATAACATAAACACACAGATATTCGTGTAAAAAAGTACTCAAAGAATCTTTTTTTTTGTCTCTACTTAAAATATATCTTTGTATAGTAACCGTTAACGTATGTTTACCATTAAGATCCAATTAACATTTATTTATTTTTTAATTGAATTTTTTTTTTGCTTGTGTGATATTTTCATACATCTGACGAATTAGAAGGTATAGATAATTTCCTTATTGATAGAAATCGAACTGTAAATCTATTTTAACCAACTTGACCTCTTTAAAAGCAAACCATCATTAATTTCCTATCCAACAAAACTGTTACCATTATTGAATGTTCGCAATTAATAGCTTCATTAAAAATACATTTTTCTTTTCACATTTTTAAAATTTCTTTTAAAAAATCAATACTCCCTCGTTTGTATTCAACATTTTAGTAAGACTTTTTTTAACGAATAACCTTTCATGGACGTTCGATTTAGCTCCCTACAAATTAAATTCATGATCGATTTTTTTTCGTAATTCAATAACGAATTAAAGGCGTCGTTTCTTACAAGTTAATTAAAATTAAATTCAAACCGAGTGGGGTATTTTCTTTGTCGACACCGGGTAGTCCCGTTCAATCAGGCTTAATTCTGCGTTCCGGTGTCACAACAGGACAAGATTCCCCAGTCGCTACGCACACTTGTTTCTCCGCTGTTTCAATACACACGGTGTAAAGGGAGATTTACCGCCGTAATAACTTTACCGTTGTATAGACCAACATTGCGATTGCGTAGGGATTTCTAAGGAAGTCTTTCTTATGAAAATAATTCCTTATGGATCTCACGGTTGATGAGATTTTGGTCGTCACAACATGATTTTTAAGTCGACCAGATTTATGAATACGATCATACGGTGGTTGACCGAACCTTCAATTACTAGCAGTCGTGCCCGTCTGACGCAAAGGGCTACGGGCACATTTAAAACAAGTTTCAATACGCAGCGGTTTTTGTTCTGGATCATATACAGCCGTTACAATCCAACATATTAAAGATATCTAGGTTTCTGTAAGAACGGTAGAAGAAGAGGCAAAGACCTCTGGGCTGACATGGGCGATGATAAGGAGAGTGGCCCAAAACAGAGTCCGGTGGGAGAGGTGTGGTTGCAGCCCTTAACTCCCAGGGAAAAGATTAAGTGAAGTAAGTTAAGTAAATGGGGTGGCCTGGTCTAGTCACGAGTTCGTATCCGGGTTCAAGTTAGTAGAACATCTCCGAGTCCATCCAGCTCTGATGGGTACCCAGCTCACGTTAAGGAACACAAAGGCGGCTGGGCATAATGCTGATCACACTATCCCTTCATAAGCCGAGGTCATTAAAACATGAACTCTACTTCATCTGCCCAATCTGTCTATCTTGGGCACGAACGGGAAAAGAAGATGAAGTCAAGTTAGGGTTCCACAAGGCGTGTTCCAGCGATAGAACACTCGACTGCGAACCCGAAAGGAATGCGTTCTGAACCAGGGTTGTAAACCATAGCCCGTACCCTGTCTGAAACATCCGCCACCAAATGGTGCCATGTAACCTAGCGGAAACCTATGGGGAGTTAGCATGGGTGAGAGACATGCTCAATTCTTTATCCTGTTCTAGTCAGCATGGCCAATGAACACTGTTCACACAATGGCCATGTATGGAGTTAGATAAATAGAGCAGAGCTTATTTCTGAAATTTTTTTATCGTGGGATGGGGGGGGGGGGTAAAGCGCCCCCTGTCGAAACAAGTTCACTGTGCTTCCCTAACGAAATAGAAAAATATAAAATAAATACTCCATGTACATGGAGAAAAAATGTCTGAAAGAAACACAACAGTGATCTAGAATTCTTTATCTGCTGCTGGTAGCGTTGTCGATGTCTGGGCATTTGTAACAAATTCTATGAAACTGTCAGGGTGAGAATGATGATAAGGTTAAGCT